GGAGGTTTATAGTCTGTCAGAGGTCTATAGGGGTAATTTTCATCCAAAAGGCTGTCCAAAGTTTTGGAGAGTTCATAATCCTTTATAGATAATCCTAATTCATTGGCCGAAGTTTTGTCCTTCTTGGCATGCATAATATTGAGAGCCAATTTCCTGCGAAAGAGGTTGACATCCTTAGACCAGTTAAATTTATTGCAGGAAGGAGTTGGTACAAATGATAAATCCCTATATAACAAGGTAGTGTGCTGAATAGATAGATGGAAATTGGACAGATTAATTATCTTGTTAGAAACTATAACCTCTGAGTATGACTGATTCTTGTAAGCCCACCGATCCCTGTCTCTCAATCGACCCCTGTTTTTGGCGAGGTTGGTCCTGTTCTAAAAAAGGATTTGACAGCGTGGTAGTAGTGGTCTGGGAATTATTGACATCTGTGGAAATTGGTATGTCTAGAAATGAGACTGCCTTATCTGAGTGTTTCAAAATACTTTTGTTGTGACTAGGTTGGAAGCTCAGATCTCCTGTGTGATCAGTATTGTATTTAACTGGGGCTCTTTGTCTGGGTTGAGGTGGTTGGTCTTGGTCCGACCAGTCAGTTTCACCGGAGGAGGAACCTCTGTTATCTGCATGCTGTTAGACTCATAAAAACAAGCAGTCTGCTGACATCATTAGAAGTGGTGGCCTGATCCAATCACAGTGCTTCCCCATAGGATTGGCTGAGACTGACAAAGAGGCAGATCAGGGTCAGAGCCCGCATGATTCAAACACAACCCTGGCCAATCAGCATCTCCTTATATAGATGAATTTAATTAATGGATCTCTATAAGGAAAGTTCAGTGTCTGCATGCAGAGGGAGGAGACACTGAATGTTTGGATGCATTTTAGGCAGCCATGACCCAGGAAGGATCTCTAATAGTCATCTAAGGAGTGGCTAGTGAAGTTATCACTAGGATGTAATGTAAAGACTGCATTTTCTCTGAAAAGACAGTGTTTACAGCAAAAAGCCTGACAGTAATGATTCTACTCACCAGAACAAATTCAATAAGCTGTAGTTGTTCTGGTGACTATAGTGTCCCTTTAACTATATTAATTGTCAGCCATTCCACACAAGTTTTTTTTCCCATACATCCCTTTTAAGTTTCCATACTTAAGTAAGAGTATGTGAAAAGTAGTTAGGGTTGCCACCTTTCTTTGACATCACATGATGTAAATCACAAGGAGTGACATAAGAGAAACATAAAAGAAAATGCTGTAAAATCACCAAAAAACTACTTAGTTTAAATCTGCTGTATAGATGGATTCCTCCCAGTGCCCTCATGACTCAGTGCCCCAAGTGTCGATTACTCCAGGTCTCAGTGTTCCTATGTATCAGTGTCTCAGTGCCCCATGTCTCCCAGTGTCCCCTAGTGTCGTGTCCCCAGGTCTCCCAGTGATCCTATGTATCAGTGTCTCAATGCCCCATGTCTTCGTGTGTCCCCATGTATCCCAGGGTCCCTATGTCACTAGGACACTAGGAAGACGGGGAGACCTGGGGAAACGTGGAGACACCAGTGACACTGGGATACTAGGGGACTCTGGCTGTGACACATGGGGACAATGGGAAAATAGGGGACATTTGAAGACATGGGGACACAGACACCAGGGACAAAGACACTAGAGACACTGGCTGGGGGACATGGGGACATTGAGACATGGAGGCACTTGGAGACATGGGGACACTGAGACACCAGGGCCACAGACACTAGCTTGGGGACATTGTGACACTTGAGGCACTTACATGGAAGCACTAGGAGACATGGGGACAGTGAGACACTGGCAGACTGGGGGCACTGGGAGACTAGGGGTCACTGGGAGACTAGGGGGCACTGAGACACAAGGGACACTGGCTGGGAGACAATATTTGCACAAGCCAGGTAGCCTCAAATACTGGCTGTGCCAATAAAATAAAAGCCAGGTGGAATCCCTAAGAGTAGTGTGTGAAAAAAAAAATGTTAAAAAAATATATACATATATATATATATTTTTTTTTAAATCAATGGGCCTATTCCATGGGCCTGGGCCTGGGCCTGGAGCTGCAGCTCCATCAGCTCTTATGTTAATCCGGCCCTGCTTGCAAGCATGGCTTTTCCTGCCCAAACCAGTTCCCACTGGTCTGGCAGTGTCCCTGGAACAACGCCCTGCTGGAGAACAATGGAGCTGGGAGAGGGGAAGAGCCTCACCTTCCCAGGGTTTCAAAGGGGAAGAAAAAGTGTCCAAAAAGTTTCAATATGTCTATACACTCTGCATTTTAGGCAGCCATGACCCAGGAAGGATATCTAACAGCCATCTAAGGAGTGGCCAGTAAAGTTATCACTAGGATGTAATGTAAAGACTGCATTTTCCCTGAAAAGGCAGTTGTAACGGACCGTTTTGCACATAAGGGGTAAAAATTGTTTAGGTGATCGTCCCCCTTTCCAGAGATGCAGTACACCAACGCCGAACAGGAAACCATATTAATGCTGTAAACAGCCGAATAGGAAAAACCATATGAATAGGTTTACACTCCTAGCAGTCAAACTGGAACAGCATACAATTAGTGATGTACCGAACGGTTCGCCGGCGAACGGTTCCTGGCGAACATAGCATGTTCGCGTTCGCCACGGCGGGCGAACATATGCGCGGTTCGACCCGCCCCCTATTCGTCATCATTGAGTAAACTTTGACCCTGTACCTCACAGTCAGCAGACACATTCCAGCCAATTAGCAGCACAGCCTCCCTAGCAGACCCTCCCACCTACTGGACAGCATCCATTTTAGATTCATTCTCAAGCTGCATGCTTAGTAAGAGGAGGGAAAGTGTAGCTGCTGTTCATAAGATAGGGAAAAGCATAGCTAGGTTAGGGATAAGGGTATGCTTTTTTTTTTTTATTTTTTCTATGTAATGTAAATGCACTTAGTTGTCTGCCACTGCTGCCAGCTTCTGTGTCAGGCTCACAGTGCCCATTTCCCCAGTCAGTGCCACCATTTACATCTGGTGTCACAATAGCTTGGATTTAAAAACAAAAAACTTTTTTCACTGTTATAGATTGAATAGCAGTCAGTTGTCTGCCACTGCTGCCAGCTTCTGTGTCAGGCTCACAGTGCATACTGTGCCCATTTCCCCAGTCAGTGCCACCAATTACATCTGGTGTCACAATAGCTTGGATTTAAAAACAAAAAACTTTTTTCACTGTTATAGATTGAATAGCAGTCAGTTGTCTGCCACTGCTGCCAGCTTCTGTGTCAGGCTCACAGTGCATACTGTGCCCATTTCCCCAGTCAGTGCCACCAATTACATCTGGTGTCACAATAGCTTGATTTAAAAACAAAAAACTTTTTTTACTGTTATAGATTGAATAGCAGTCAGTGTCCTTAAAGCGGGTGTGTTACGCCAACAGTGGATACGCTGACAAGTGC